CGCTCCTACTTAATCAAGTAGGCGCCTACTTGATTAAGTAAGGGCGACTAGTTAACGGGACGCAGGATAGCGCACACTCGCACTCATGACTTGGTTCCTAGATGGTCAGAGAACCACAACCGACACAAAATCTTACTGTTACCAAAGTCGAGGTCCATGCAAGTTCAACACGCAGATAGGCTCAAAGCCAGTCCAATGGTAACCAACATTCAAAATAGGGTTTGAAAACAATAAATAAATATATATATAATATATAAAACTGATCAACTTATCAACGCCTGCCATGCGATGTGTAGCTATGTGTTGGGAGCCAGTTCCCACTGAGAAGTCTGTATGTCTGTGACCTGTGAGCTAAGTGAATCTCTGCCTACAAACTTAGCTTGCAGTGCATTCCTAGTCCTAGTCCTAGTCCACAACACCACCTCCAATCGCCAAGGCACATAAAACGAACATGATTTCGTCTTCAAAAACTGTTGCTCGTAGCGTGAGCGATCTCGTTGTGCTGCAGCACCCTTGCAGGGGGTTGCTTGCCCGGTTGGTCAAGAGTGGGTATCGTTCTACGAAGAGAAAAGAAACAAAACATCAAACTGAATCGTCCCTGGATGATTGTCCCCGTTTTCCTCCACGTCAACAACGTTGTCCCATGAATAAATACTGCAAAGAATTAGCAACACATTTAAGTGTGTATCATAATACAGATACATTGTCGCTGCTGTGGCTATGGTGGTATTGTCTTTGTAATCAAGTGACTGGGAACTGCCGCAAGTCAAGAAATGAAGGCTGGAACAAAAAAGCAAAACACTCAGACCTGGATTGATCGAAACAATCTGAAACATGAATTCTGTGATTTGCCACCGTGGCAGGCAACAATGCTTCCTGTCATTAGGAGACGCTCTTCAAGTGTTGAGTGTCCGCCATCTTTAGACTAAGATGCAATATCAGAGTTTGAAGTTCAGTGCGTCGAGTCTTTTTAAATCCATCCTCCCCCCAATCAGCGCCTTGGCAACCCGCGATTTGCGGGCAGGCATTTGATCAAAGCCTACGCAATCACGCTGCACGCCACTGCGTGCCAGCCCATACCGAACAGCCCACGCCAGCCCGTTGGGTCACGATGTACAGTTCAAAAAACGAATCAAACACAAAAACAACAAGATGGAGCCCACGAACCCGAACGCAAACACGTACTCGCAAACAAGCGCCCAATCATTGTTTGATATTTTTTGCCACTCTTGTTGGAGAGAGTGTCTCCACTCTTGTAGGACCCCTTTGTGGGACACTGTCATGCGACACTATCGTCACTCTGTGGGACATTCTTGCAGGACACTCTTGTAGACTCTTGCGCAACACACGTGCAGGACTCTCGTGGGACACTCACGTACGGCACTCACGTACTCAAATGTACTTTGGCCACATAAGTTGACACTTCTGAGGCAACAGCTCCCAGAAGCTGCTGCCCCCACTACATTTCCACTACAAAGCTGCCATTTCTACAGCTCCCAGAAGCTGCTTGCCACCAGTTCTGAGGCGACAGCTCTCAGAAGCGACATTTGCACTACAAAGTGGACAGTTCTGAGGCCGCACCTGCCAGAAGCCGCTTCCCGCACTACATTAGTACTACCAAATGGCCAGTTCTGAGGCCACAGCTCCCACAACCTGCTTCCCGTATTACATGTATACTACATTGTACTACAAGTTGCCAGTTCTGAGGCCACAGCTGAAGCCGCTTCCCGTGCTGCATTTGTACTACCAAGTGGCCTGTCTCAACACACAGCTCCCAGGAGCAGCTTTCCGCATAACATTTGCGCTAACAAGTTGCCACTTCTGTGGGACACTCTTGTGGCGCACTCTTGCGGAACACTCTTGTGTGACACTCTTGTATGACACTCTTGTCGGACACTCTTGTCGGACACTCTCGTGGGACACTCTTGTAGGACACTCTTGTGGGACACTCTAGCGGGACACTCTGGTGGGACACTCTTGTAGGCCACTCTTGTCGGGCACCTTGTCTGCGGGACACTCTTGTAGGACACTCTCGCGGGACACTCACGTACGACACTCTTGTGGTATACACTCTTGGACCACACTCTTGCGAGACACTCTTGTAGGACACTCTGGCGGGAAACTCTTGCGGGGCACTCTTGTAGGACGCGTTCTTGTCGGAAACCCTTGTGGTACACTCTTGCGCGCTCTTGTGGCACACCTTGTATGGCACTCACTCTTGTAGGACACCCTTGTGGTCGGACATTTTTGTGGGACACTCTTGCGGGACACTCTTCTAAAACACTCTTGCGGGGCACTCTTGTACGACACTCTTGTGGGACACTCTTGCGCGACACCCGGACCCTTGTATGATACTTTGTGAACGCTCCTTTAGGACACTCTTGCGGGGCGCTCTTGTGGGGAACGCTTCTAGGACACTCTTGTGGGGCACTCTTGCCGAACACTCTTGTAGGGCTCTGTGGGACACTCTTGTGGGACACTCTTGCGGAACACTCTTGTAGGACACTCTTGCGAGACACCCTTGTAGGAAACTCTTGTAGCACACTCTTGTAGGACACTCTTGTGGGGCCGCTCTTGTGAGACCACTCTTGTAAGCTACTCTAGGACACCCTTGGACACTCTTGTAGGGCACCCTCACACTTGTAGGTCACTCTGTAGGTCACTCTTGCGGGCACGTGTGGAACACTCTTGTAGGACAATTTTGCGGGACACTCTTGTGGGACACACTCTTGCGGGGTATAGGACACTCGGTGGACACTCTTGTGGGCTTGTCGGGCAATCTTGCGGGGCGCGCTTTTGGGGCACTACTACTAAAGTCTCCAAAGTCAACCGCCACGGAGATTTGCTCCAAAAGTCACACGTCAAGTCTGCAAAACGAGCGTTTCGCGCGAGACCCCCTCAAAAACTCACACTTCAAGTCTCCAAAACGAACGTTTCGCATAAGACTTCCTCAAAAACTCACACTTCAAGTCTACAAAACGAGCGTTTCGTATGAGAAATCCTCTAAAATTCACGCGTCAAGTCCCGAGACTCACGGTTTTGTGCGCCTGCCACGAAAATTTGCACGTCCACACCTCCATGGTACTGCACCTGCCACGAAATGTGACCTCCGCCACACCTCGCAACCTCACAATCGATTGCGCCTGCCACGAAAATTGCACTTCCACACCTCAAAGCCCGCACAAAGTACTGCGCCTGCCACGAAAAGTGACAATATCGTATCACGTTAGCTTCAGCAAAATTTAATTTGCACCACACCACATGCCAGGGGGGGTGCAAAAAGATCCATATCTGGGGGGGCATGGGAAGAGAACCTTAAAAATGTAACTTACATTTTTCCAAGAAAAAACATAAAAAATGTAGGTTACGTGTGTTTATGAGCCTAAAGAACTGTAACTTACATTTGCTTCAGATCACCCTCAAAGACGGAAAACAAACTCCAATCCCCAGCCCCCTTTCCCAATCCCCAGCCTACAGCTGCCCACCTCCTAACAAAAATGTAAGTTGCTTTGGGTTAGGTGTCCTGGAAACCATAGAAACGCAGGGCCGTTCAGTCACGTACCTTTTTGCATCCCTTTATACAACCACTAAACCCAGAAGCTGTCTTTGGGTTAGGCCACCAGAAAGCATAAAATCATAGAAATACATTAGAAGGAGCCATGGGAAGCTTCCAAGAGAGGGCGCCACCATTGTGTTGGGCCTCGTTTTTCACAATGCGCCTACATCTTCTTACTTATCCTTTCAAAAGGTTAGCAAAGAAAATGTAACTTAGGACGTGGGATGTTTTATTCTCCAGCCCCCCCTCCCAGCGCTGGCATCGCACGCTGACACACGCCAGCCACCTCTTCATTTCCTGGTGAACTCCCTGGAACACGCAAGCAACACCCAGCAAAAACCCCCGGGGGGGTGGCCATGAATATGGACTCTACTTAAATATTAAGTAGTGCAAAAAACGAGGGGTGGTCAACATACATTTATGGTGTCCCTCGAAAGTTGTAAGTAGGGATATTTCGACACACGTTCTGAGCACACTCCCATCCACCAAAATCGGCATTTGAGCTGAAGCTTGTCACGAAAACACAGCTTCGAAGCAACAACAGCCTGAAACGCAAGTCCCAATGTCACAGCCACATCCAACACCCCAAAACACCCTCTAAATGCCAATCTCAATCTGACTGTGCAGAAAACTGCGGATCTCACAAAACGCCGCCGCGCCTGCGCAGTGAAATCATCCTCCGCACTTCAACATCTCACGCTTCCACACGTTTCCTCACTATTTCACACGAATCTGACACGTCCTGCTTCCATCCAAAACCCTTTCCAAAAGCTTCTCCCAATGTGAGCGCCCTACCACGAACGGTTGCGCACGGTTGCGAACGCTGAGACAACGAGTTGCGAACAAGGCTCTACCCCGAAACCCCCAAATTTATACAAGAACCTCGCTACGCATTCGGAAAAAAGTCTAAAATTGACCAGCCCCGTGCAGTACCAAACACTATGATTCGAATTCTGGTGGTTGATGGGCTTGACCCTGGAAGATCACGGTGCACGTATGGACCTGCAGCAGAGTTCTCTCAATTGTGATGGCAAACCCCACTTTGCTCAGCGACGCCTTACTTGTAAAATCCCTTGCTCCAGTCTCCCTTGAGTCCCCCGACCAGGCTGTGAAAGCTCAGCGTTGCCGAGGGAGGCGCGGGAAAACATATACCCGAGTTCAAAAAGAAAGGAAAAGCGACGCAAATGCACAAATGCGCTGGAAAAGACTTTTTCAGAAAATGTGAAGTGAGAGCAAAACGTTGCAAAGATGTCTCATGGCCACAGCTGGGACTTGGGCCTGAAAGCCAAGACAAAAGCTGTCGGTGTGCCCATGAATCTCCCATTTCAGTATACCAAAAACTGGTAGTGTGATATGGAGTTGATAGAGCAAAGTCTGAAAAAAAGAACAGCGCCGCCACGTGGCACAATTCAGACAGGTACAGTAAACTAAAGCCACCACAGGCCTGTTGAAGATCCCGGTGGAAAAGCGGAGTCTGGCAAGAGGCGTTAGATCTCACAGAATTACAATCATGTTGCAAGTCGCATGCAGACATGTGTAGACAACATCCCAGGAACTTTCTGGTACTCTAGCTAAGGTCATCCAAGCTCTGGTTAGTTCAAAGTTCAAAGTCCAATCAAAGCCTGCCACCAGACAGGCCCGTGTGGTCCTGAGCAAGTCAAGCAACTGACACCAACACGGGCGGAGTTTAAGTTGTGTTCCTGCCTGCTAGATTCACTGGCAAACCTATGTGCATCGTGCCGGTACATCTACTACTGTACCTGTCTTGACCAGATTCGTTCTTGTCAACTCAGCGCGTGAGCCTCACCTGTTGTCAGCCTGTTGTCTGCAATCGAACAAGAGGCCCATTGCTCAGTACTCCTAGAACAAGACACAATAGATATTCAATAGAATAAGTGGGCAGCCTGGCTTCTGGGCACCAATAAGTGGCATGGCATCATGATGTAAACCTCTGAATGCACACCCCGCACAAGAGATCGCCCACAAGTTTCCAAGAGATCACTGAGAAAGACAGCATGTAAAAGTATCCCGCCATGGAAATCGCGCCGATGTATCAAGGTATACTTGTGCCCCAAACTTACCGTATGCCCCAGAGGCTTTGAGGGGTACTCAATTCTTAGGCGTCAAAAGTTTTGTGCCACCGATGTTGGCGATCGCATGGCGAAATAAAGGCTTTGTGACATTGGGACATCTTCGCTGTATATAAATGACCATACAAACGTCAAGTTGAATTTTATGTGTTACCACTTAACAACGATCAAGTTGTCAGTAATTCCACGCTAACAACAGCGCAAAGCGGAAACTTCATGCAAATAATCCAGAAACCTAAACCCTAAACCATCCCAAACCCTCAACACTAAACCCTATTGGCCCCTAGTTATATGCCAGAAGCTTGCACTCAATGACGTATATACTGGCAAATACCTTCCCCCGCGGTGTTCTGGCGCTTCAATGTATTCCCACCTGGGCATTGGTCTCAAAGAAATGGCTCAAGAACCTGCTGATGGCCGTGGAAGACTTTCTCTTGATCTCCTGCAGGAAAAAGGTGTTCACAGCAACAAATGATTTTACATCCAGCTGATAGTTTGTCGCAACTATGGACGATAACTGAAGTGGAGAACTAGAAACTAATTGGACATTGATTGTATTATAGTCATTGTCACCATGAAACTCGGCAAAATGGGGTGGCAAACATCCGACATATCAATTGAGTTCCTCAACACGTTCCACATTCTTCTGCAAGGTCTGCTCTCGCTCGAGTTTCATGGCCTCGATTGGCATCCACACAATACAATCCTATGGACTAACAACCTGAACAAAGCAAACGTCACAAACCAAAGAGTGGAGCAAGGACGCTACTAGGAGCAAAGGGCATCGCTACTAGGAACAAGGACGCTACTAGGGGCTCCTGGCCTTACTACTGGGAACTAGGAGCAATGTTTACTATTAGAAACAACAAAGAGAGGTGCAGAAAGGGTTCATCATTAACACTGCGCGCGCGGCAGTTGGAGTCCCGCGTGCACTGGGAACCACGGCTGAGAGCATCTCTTCAGAGAATTTAAGCACAACCTGAGGATTGAAATAATGGACATGGAAACGGGTCCAAAGGCCTCATTCGACCCTGCCCTGAATCAGGAACAGCCCTTGGCCAACCGACCCAATTTGGGGCCTTCGGCTGCCATTGCACAGCCGCAAGTAACTTCTCAACGCCTTTGTAATGTCAAGCCAAGATTAAGGAACCACCCTATTAGTTTGGTCCGACTTTTCCTGCAACGCTGACCACCTTTCAAAACAAAATCCGGCCCATGTTCCAAAAGTGGGGGCCCCAAAATCCCCAAGTAGTGTGGTCAATCTTCTTCGCCAAAACATTCCTGCAATGCTAATTGCCTGTCTTGCCTTTGACTCAAACAGTGTGCCCGCTCAGTGAGACTCATTGGAAAGGGTGAAAGGAAATATACGTTGATACGCGCAGCAAATGCAATAATCTGAACTCCCCATTGGCAGCAACTGCATCATCCATGCTGGCATCATGTTTCTCAACCAATTTATCTATGTTCCATATCTTCACCCTCCTCCTCACCAATTCTCCTTTTCCACCACCTCTTACTCATCTCAATGCTCCATGGACGCATCTCAACAACTCGCACTGCTTCTCCAAAATCACCCAGAAACCCAAAACCGCTCCCAAAGAATCTTTGACAAAAGTGCTTGTACATGTATGAAGCAAGTGATTGTTTCAAGCTCCCAATGGGATGCCCCAAAAACTCTCCACTCACAACTCCTTACTCAATGTCGAAACAAATGCTCAGTTTTGCACAGCCGAGCTTAACACGCGCCTCTTTCTCGTCGCGTTTCAGCTTCAACGGTATATGTCTGGTTTTGAACATATGTCTGGTATATGTCTGGCTTATGGCTGGGATTGGCTGAGTCACACCATGATCATGTGCACGCCGGCACTTCGGTCCAAACCTGTCATTTGTCGACTGAGTTCTGAAAATTGACCAGCCCAACCCGGGCATGGCCGTACAGAGTGTCTCTGCGCGCCATCCGTTTACGCAAATCCGCATCAGTGTTGGCTCTTGCATTGCAAACACACAGGCACAACGATGCACCTGGTCAAGTGCAAATCTGCTGCTCGCGCACATGGTCGAGCAAATCTCCTGGTTCCTGCACCTGGTCAAGTGCAAAGCTGATGGTTCGCGTTCAAATGAAGTTCTCGTGGTTCCTGTGCAAATCTGCTGGTTCCTGCATGACCGTGGCATGACCGCTAGGGCAAAAATTGCGATGCAAAAGTGGGGCGCTTGCATCTAGAATCTAGAACAACGTTTCACAAAACCAAACCAGGGGAAGTGGATGGCACACAAAGACACTCTGTACAGCCACACCGGGTTAAGCCAGGCAATTTTTGGAACCCACTAAACACATGACTAACTTGGACCGAAGTGCTGGCGTGCACATGATCATGGTGTCACTCAGCCAACCCCACCACGCCACAAAGTGAAACCAACTTTCCCACAGCCTTCTCTTCCATCTTCCTTCTCTCCTTTTCCTTCCTAATCGAATGTTCAACCTCATAAGTCCTTTCCGTCATGTTCTTGTCCGTCTTTCGAACCCTCTCAGATTCATCCAGCTCATCCAAGTCGATATAGACTAATGCGTTCACCTTCTCAGACTCATGCATCTCAGTTTCATTCAGCAGGTTCTCAATCGATTTGGCCCTCATGCCTGTCAACTGTCTCAAGCTCATCTCAATTGAAATAGCATGAAATAGCCCTCATTCCTCATTTGCTTCCTCGCTTTCTTCTCGTGCGCATGCAAAGTCCTTCCAAGTCAGTCTAATCAAAGATCCCATTCTGTGGTACCACACGTGATTCAAAGCTGCCATTCCAGACCCAAAGAGATTACATAGGTCTTTGGGTCCTTGGGATCTCTCCTCAGGAAGATATTTTCTTTGGGATCCCTCCTCATGAAGAGATTTAGCCTCTTGGATTTAGTCGTTGAGTCCCTCCTCATAAAGAGATTTAGTCTTTTGGGATCCCTCTTCATGAAGCGATTTAGTCTTTTGGATCTCTGCTCATAAAAAGATTTGGTCTTGGTGATCTCTCCTCATGATTGACCCCCAAATTAGTAGGTTTTTCCAAGTTTTTCCCCCGCCCCAAATAGCAGACCTTCAGGAGGGGCTATTAATCGTTGCTTTACATCACAATTATTGTACTGTAACACACAAAATACATACAGTATATTTATGTATATATATATATATACACAATCCAACATGTAGGTTAACCACTTCTACTTCTCTGCAGCTCTTGGGACCAAACATCCTGCTGCTTTGTTAGGCGGTCCACCATGTGGTTCGAGGTGTCAATCATCAAGACCTGCCAGAGCATCAACACATCAATGTGGATAATGGACATCCATCCCATAGTAGGAATCCTTATACTGGCCATTGTAAATCCCTAATAATGGGTTGATGCCCCCACCATGGAAGATTAATCATGAGTGAGTATTGACCATGATACATGTGCTGTGTATAGTACTAGTACATACTAGTACAATTATTACCTTAGACCTGAGACCCATTGAGACACAAGATGTGGCAAGTTGAAAAGTATGTTGAATCATGAGGTGGATGGAACATGGAAACCAATGACACAACATCCAGAAGTATTGAACTCACGGACCGAACCTATCCGCTCGTGAGAGCATGAATGAGCATGACAACAGGGTGAAAAAAATAACATCGAAACCAGAACGCCGCAAAGGGGTGCCATGTCGATATTCTCCATGTTCACGAAGGCGCTGATGACTTTGTCTGGTTGGAGGAGGGTCTTGTAGGCCGCAACCTTGGTGCAGAAACCTCCACCATGCTCGGAATGTGAAACCACTGAAAACCACGCTTGCATCAACAATTGCTGCGTACAGCAACACCACAACCTAGGCTGATGTTGGCTCTACACACTGTGAATGCCATGGTCACCACCAACCTTCTCTGAGGTGCTGGCTGCTACACCTAGAATCGCCTAGAGACAGCGGAAACGGCTCTCTGGGACATACCACCCTTGCTTCGACACATACTGAAACCAAAATATTTAGAACCATCTGGGGCTGCACACCTGGCAAATCAGGAACAGTAGGATCACCTGAGAGTTGAAAATTTAAACATCCTTCACGTCAAACACAAGAGACTCTTTGAAAACGTCGGAGGGGCTCAGTCTGTTGATTCTGCACCAAGAGGCCCGCAGGAAAAGGGTGTGTGTGTTTGTGGCTCTTTCTTTGAGTGATCTGTGAGGCCCAAGAGCAATAAAGCACTAACAGAACCATGCCCAATTAGACCTCAAGATTGCCTGGTTGCATGGGGTACAGAAGCTAGTCGAACGAATACAATCATTATCACTGTGGCTGGATTAAACATCACCGGAGGCTTTCTTGGCCAAGCCTTTTGTAAACGATCTTCTCGATTTCGCTTCTTCTCCCGCTTTTGGTACTGCTTGTTTGTAGCAGCCTTGGCCGCTGCTAAGCAGAACAAAGCAGGGAATCTGACAAGGGTCAAACCATGCCTGATAATAGGTCTTAGACTTAGGGTAAAATAAGTGCTGCCCTCAAGGGTTTTTGTATGTTCTTGTGCGTGACTCTGATTGAGAATATCCTGTCCGACAGCTGTCAGGAAGCAATCAAGTCCTCCATGTATTTCTCATTGAGGAGGGCATCGATGTAGTCTTCTGGAACCCCTGCAAATCCGAAAATCAAGTCTTCTGAACCCAAGGTTGCACACGAAGCGCAGCGAAGCGCTTGGCAAGTGAAGTCTTTTGACAAGATTTAAGAAGTGCACCCTCAGACATGAGCTAAAAAAAGAAGGAAGGTACAGTAAGGCCAGGGGCAGTCTGTGCGAGCACTATCCTGCGTCCAGTAGGTAGGAGCATCTTTGGTACCTAATAGAGCTGCTGACTGGTAACCTATACCTCTTCTAGCTACCTCGTCCTTCCTCTTCTTCTAGTGCCCTACATGATTCAAACAAAAGACGGATGATGACGTATGTGTTTTGTTTTTCCAAATTCTCTGCCTGACATGAGCATGTCGGCCCTTGAAGGCCGAGTGGATGCTCGTGGAGGCGCCATGACGAAGGAGCTGTCGCGCCGCCGCGAAGGCGAGCACTGCCAAACGGGGGGGGGGCTTTTCATCTGAATCTAAGGGATTTCAAAAGACTTCAAAGAGGGACAAACATGGACAAACACACCCACTGCAAACTACTGCATGTGAATGTCAAATCTGGATCCGACTTGAGTGGCCTTGGTCTGATGACACTTCTCTTGCTCACATTTGATACATTAGCTGCGGAGTCTGTGGAGTCTGAACGTAGAGTGTCCACTGTCAAAGTTAGTGCAAATGACTCCACTCCAAAAGCCACTTGGGATGTTCAGATTCAATTATATATAATATATATACGGTATATATTGGTATATTATGTTGGCTTTCAAACATGACAGACCCCTCCAGACCTCAAGGTGTCAAGTACTACCGATGAAGTTCCCGAACATTCCCACCACTATCGATCTTTGACAAGCCTATGATCCCTTTTGTAAAATAGAGACCAAAGACCACCATCGTTTTACAACTTCAAGATCATGAATGAATGACAAGTCAAATGAAAAAAAGCCTTGTCACTTTTTTGGTGCACAGCCAAAATGACATTGTGGTAGCAAGCTGAACTCCTTCTAGGGCTATCTGTTGGGTGCCCATTCTGCCTAAGCTATGCATCTCATGCGAAATCAAGCTCGTTCAAAGTATGATGCTCGCTCAAACAACTCAACTTTTGTTGAAAGGAAAACCCCCAATGCCAAACTCTGAAGCAGACCCCCAAGAAGGAGAAATTTAAAGGGCTTGGGATACTAGCACAGGATAGCACAGGCATTTTCCTGTACCGAGACAGGCTCAGCATGTTGTTTGCACCCCTCAGCAAGCACTTGCCAGTTGCACCTGCCAGCATTTCACTTGAAATAAATTTGCGGAAGAGACTTAGAGAAAACCATGCTGTTTAAGGCCGAGGGTTCACCATGGCGGGTGTGTGTGTGTGCGCGCGTCGGACAACTGTGTACCTGTGTACCCATGCATCTTTGAGAATGGCCACTTAGTCACAAACCTGCCACAGTTGTCAAAGTACTGAGTAACAAGTGCATCGCTACTAGTAGCAAGTGCCTTACTACTAGTAACAAGAAGCTATTAGAAGCAAGTGCCTTACTACTAGTAACAAGAAGCTACTAGGAACAAGTGCATCGCTACTAGTCTGCAATTCGGTCTTCTGAGTTTTAAGAGTTCTCGTGGTGCCAAGGCCTGATCCAATTCCTGGAGGACACACTCGAAGGGATTCAATCAACACATGGGAACAGAGAGTCACTGACTTGCGTGATTGCAGGTGTGCTCATGTAACTGTCCAAAAATGCAGTATGGTCGTTTTTTCTGGTGTCAACTGACTGGAATGTTTTTCTCTCATCCTGCCATACAGACACTGGGTGCAAAGTTGAAGTCCATGCTTCACCCTTCATTTGAGCCACATGAGAAAGCACCTGGCAGTTTCAATCAGCATCGACTGAATGACACCTTTGGAAACTATATTTCTATCAAATGTCAAGAAGGATTATAGCTGAAAAGACCATGCCCATAGAAAATCCCACAAATAAGCTCAATGAATGAAATGGTACAGTCGCTTTCTTTGCGTCCTGCGTGCAAGATGCGCGTTTCATGGCTTACAGTTGCAGAAGACAAATAGGCGCGCTAATTTCTGCTGTTTTCGTGGGCTTCTGCGGGATGTCTTGCTGCGGCCCCTGAAAATGACAGCTTGCATGACAGGGTGAGCATCTGCAAGTCAATCAAGAAATCCATTAGCCTGAACAGCCTCAAGACTCCCATGTCAAAGCAGCTCGAAACAAAGAGCTCAGTGCAGCCCCGCCATGCTATAAGCTCGGATTTTGAAGTCATACACGAATCTCTACCTTTTGCATCTTTCGCGGCAGGTTTTTTTGAAGCCCCACAATCAGGTCTTCTTGCTTTCAAGGCTTTTGGAATCTTTTGGAGCCACGGAGCCACATGGTTTCACTGACGGCAGTACCAATTGCACAAAGCTAAAAGATAGAAACTCTAACTTGTCTTAGCCCACTCCTAACTAGAAACAAGTGCATCGCTAGTAGTAACAGGTGCCTTACTAGTAGTAACAATGTGTGCCTACTTACTTAAGGGCGACTAGTTCGCAGCAATAGGAAGCTCCTAGGAACAGGACGGATAGCTCACGCAATGATTTGGTTCCTAGACTTTAAGGGAAACTTCAGTTGGTCTTTGTAACTGTGAAGTCAACTCCTGGAACTCTGAACAGGATTGAAAGCCACACCTCAAATGGTCTCCAGGCCGGTGAATCCCAGGCCATCTCAACCTAGCAAAACGAATCTTGCCAAGAACTCCAAGCTGTCAAGACACCTGAAAAATGCCTACCTTTCACAGAAACGATGCCAAATTCCGAGGCTTTGGTTTTGGGGAATACTCTATATAGAACCGCTGTGTTTCAGATGTTTCAGCAACAAGTCTTGCACCTCTTCTCGTGGCTGCCACCAGTCCAGGAACCAGCAAAGTAAGGTGTCCAAGGCCACCAGGAGGATGAAAAGCCTCGGATCTGAAACCGGCCCATCTGATCATCTGCGCCTGTTGCATATCTGGTCACTGTCTACGGCTGTGTCTCCGGCTTTCCAGAGACTGGCCCCACACGCAAAAAGCGCAGGAACCGTTCTCTCAAAGGAATGGAAGGCTTCAGGACCTCACAAAGGCCATGTGAAACCAGTGGGAGCACGTTCGTGTTGTAGAATAACTACATATAGTTTCAAGTTTCAAAAGTTGCTTGGCCTGATATGTCCCCAAAGAGGTTGCATGTACAGATACACGAGATTGTACGTACCAAAATTTGATGAACAAGACGATGCAACACTTAACAAAAAATGCTGACATCCAAAGTGACTTCCATTTGGCGGACGTGTAAGCATTGGTTAGAACCGCTGAATTTTCCAGCCCCACCCTCAGTTACAAAAGTTGTGTATCTGATTGGTGACCGGCAGGATGCGCTCCATTTGAGGAGCAGTGGCTTTTGTACAGAGAATCCCTCCTTCAACTGCACGGCACCTTGAATGACAGCGCAAAGTGGCCGTAGACGAGTTGTGGCCGTCTTGTTCTCTGTGTGCGACGTCTTCTTTTCGAAGGTAGAGCCGGTAGAGCTTGGTCTGAAGGGTTCCCATCAGGTTGGAGGCCAAGTAGTAACAATGTTTGCTGGTAGTAACAAGTGCCACGCGACTAGTAACAGGTGCCTTACTAGTAGTAACAAGGTTCGCTACTATTAACAGGTTCTTAGGTTGGAGGCCATTCCTCTTAGGTTAGGCCATTCCTCTTGGTTAGACGCAGGCCACACGTGGTCGACTCGCACACGTGGATACACGTGGTACAGTGCCGATTCGTGGGACCGCTCCGGCAGACGGGGCACACGCCATGCAAGATGTCCCACTTTAATGTGTTTGTCTTTTATATATGTTAATTATACAGTCATCACTTATCTCTATGCAGTATTGTTTGTTTGTTTTGTTCTTTTAAGGGGGCCAGGCCGTAAGGCCGCAAGAGGTAGCTAGTAGCTTAAGTAAGCTCCTAGGTAGGACGCAGGACTGATCACGCTTCTATTCATTTGGTTCGTAGATTCAAAGGCTACCTTTCATGACAAGGTGATCGATGGCAGGTGCAAGATAACCGGCGTGGCAGCGGAGGAATTGGGGTTAGCAGCGAACCACATAATTTGAGTAGACCGCTGCCCTGCTGCCCTGCCCTGCGTTGGGGCTACCGGCTAGGGGTATGCCATTGTCGGACCGTGTCATGGGCACACTCTGTGAGACACTGCAATGAGATACGGACAGATCATTATCATCGGCGGATTCACAACACCGCAAAGAAAACCAACTGAAACCCCCTATTTCCATCAAACGACGACTAATCATGTAGGAAATCGCCCACGCGGTTGAGGGAATGACTACCTCTCGGTAGACTCGTTCAGTGCGCTCTGCAACGTCCTGCCATGATGCGCAACTGGGAGTTGGACTGGGGACGTGATTCACCTTCTGGAACAAACATGTCTCCACTGCTCCACCACTAGAAATATGAAATTCACCTCGGATCATACAATGTATGAGGCAAAAATTTGTCAGCTCACCCAGCCAGCTCCTGCCAAGAGTACATTTTCTCGACCTCCTCATGCACACTCTGCGCAGCCTGACGGGGAGTGGCTGGAAACTCCTCCTCCTCCTTCTCCTCCTCCAACTCCAGTAACACGACACCTTGGTGAAGTGTGGGATCACTTCGGAGATACGAGCTTAGAATCATCTTTAATGTCAACCTAGGATTAGGGAACCCCCCCTATTAGTCTACCCAGCGTTCAGGCCCCTATAATAAACTAATTTGAACTATGAATTTCCACAGTCACCACCCTCTAATAAAAAATTTGTTTGGCTGAACCCCCCCCTATTAGTCTACCCCCTGTCCCCCCAGGAAAAATACAATTATTCAAATATATATGTGTGTTTAATTAGTTTTGTTCTTTTTGCCTTTTCAATATTTTCTTGTCTTACCATGGTGAAACTGATCTTCTGATTGATTACCAATGCTCTCCCAAAGCAACAGCTTTCCTAGAATTTCCAAAAACTCTCTAGGAAAATTCTTTCATTTTCCCTTATTAAAACTCTATCAAAATCTGCAATTTGAGAAGCTCAGAAAGGGTACCCCCCATACACCCCCTACCCCCCTCTAATAGTGGGGTACCCCCCCCCTATTAGTCAACCCCATCCATGATGAGCTCTCATGGACCTCATGATGAAAGGGAATTAGTATTTGGGCTCTCATGGATTTCATCATTCCATCCCAGCTCTTCCAAATACTAATTCCCTTTCATTCCAATTCTTCCAAATACTAATTCCCTTTCATCCCAACCCTTCCAAATATTAATTCCCTTTCATTCCAATTCTTCCAAATACTAATTCCCTTTCATTCCAATTCTTCCAATTACTAATTCCCTTTCATCTCAATTCTTCCAAATACTAATTAATTCCCTTTCATTCCAATTCTTCCAAATCAAATTCCCTTTCATCATCTCAGAAATCAAATTTGTGCCAATAAGCTCTCATGGATCTCATGATGAAAGGGAATTAGTATTTGGGCTCTCATGGATCTCATCATTCCATCCCATCTCATCTCCTCCTCCTGTCATCATCAGGTCATCCCCACTATTAGGCGGATGTGATCTCCAAAACCTCCAATCTCAGACCTTGTTGACCTTGTTGACCTTCTAGGGGGGGGGGGGCCGTTGATTAATCCGACGTCGACATTACAAAAAAAAGGTATATAACTTGCTCCGCCACCATAATTCTCAAGCCTAGCAGTCTCGGAGTCTAGTATTGTTTTGCCTGGCATTCGTGACCCAGCCAGGCTTTGCGACCCCTAGGAGTTGCCATAGACTCCGTTGCACCCACCTCGGGCGGAGGCAAGGATAGCAAAGCGTCTTCCAGGGCCTGCAAAGCAGGTGTGGAATCTGCTTGACCGTGTGGGAAATGTTTCAAGAAAACTATTCCACAACATCTAAGCAATAGTATATGTATTCTTTCTTCGCCGGTAGTTGTATGTTATTGTATGTTTGGAAGAAGCCTCTCTGCACAATGCTTAGGCGCTTTGTCGCGTTGTTCACTCTTCATGCCTCAACTACTGCATCAACACGCGGAGCAGCAAGCTTGGTCATATGAGGCCTGAGAGGGATCTGAGCGACAAAATTGTTGACACTGTTCGAGAAAGACTGGAAGCAAACAGTGTGTCAGGTCACGATCCGCACGTGGTTTTCTTCTGGATGCAATCTGAAGCGTTGCTGCAGTCTAACAGTTTTGTTTACCTCCAAAAGCGATCCCTGATCAGGACATTGAACTACTCGTATCTTGCACTGGGTGCTCTTGCGGCAAGACCTCAGGCACACCACCTACGTTGGTGGAGACCACCATGAGGCCACACGCAGCAGCCTCTACCTAAGCGTTCAAGGCTGATTTTGCCAGAGGTCCAAATCTCACTTCACATCGACATGAAGACTGCTTGATACCACTATGCAAGCGCATGTAACCTATGTGTATTATGTAACTACGCGCGCGTAAACACATGCGTCTGTCTGTGCCTCATGTGCATGCGCCCCTGCCAATTGAACTTTGGCATGATCCAATTGGTGCGTCACAGCATTCATACGCCACCCCATGGTTGCTTCTATTGTGTTTTTGACGCAAACTGCTGATGAGTGAGCATCCCTGTCAATACCCCCAGTCCTCGGCTTAGAATATGTTCCCAGACATGGTTTACTTCCCAAATGCGTTCCCACAAAAATGTAGACCTTTCAAAAAGAGCATCGACACAGGTGCTGGGCAAATTAAGCCGCCCCCTTCCTACTTGTTCCTCGGCTCATTCAAATGATTCTTGACGTTCAAAGCAGTGGTTCAACTAAGTCTAAGTGAAGGACAATTGCAATGCAGAAGGCTTCTGTCAAGGAGGTGTTAAGGAAGATGTGCCCCCTAACCAAGACCTGGCGACAGGACCAGGCAGTCAGCTTGTCCCAAAGAACGAATCAGGACTTGGAGATCACCAAGGTCAAGGGAAGGGAAGGTGCTCGGAATCGGTTTGAGAGTCATCAGAGTTGTTTTTGCTGGAGTGATTTCGTGTTTTTCCCGAAAGCATTGCGAAGGGTTCTTCCGGAAAATCCCTTGAACACTGACACTTCGACACTTACACTTACACACTGACACTTCCACCACACTTGCACTACAACATGAACGCTATACGTACCCCAGTGTAGGTGGAAGAGCGAAAGCGAAAGCATCCAAGTGCAAAGTATGCAAGTGTCAAAGTATGCAAGTGTAAGTACGCAAGTGTAATGATGAGTATGCAAGCGTGCAATGAGTATGCAAGCATGCAATGAGTAGGCAAGTGTGAGCATGGAAAACTAGCACGGGAGATGTCCTAATGAAAAACAATTTCCCACTTTATAAATTCTCTCTTAAAGGCGGAGGGTGGGACGAACAGCGTCAACCGAAAATGCAACCCTCTGCGGAGATCGTGCGTCTCGAGTGCGCGAAATGCAGGCGAGAGCGCGATTTGTCCGGCGCCCGCGCAACCCTCTGCGGAGGTCGTGCGTGTCGAGTGCGCGAAATGCAGGCGAGAGTGCGATTTGTCCGGCGCGCGCGCAACCGTCTGCGGAGATTGCGCGCGTCGAGTGCGCGAAATGCAGGCGAGAGTGCGATTTGTCCGGTGCGCGCGCAACCCTCTGCGGAGACCTGGGGAACCGTTCGATCACTTAAACCGAGTCCATACCGCTCACGACCCTGTTTTCACCTCGGATAGGTCCAAATGGTTTTTTCGAGGCCATTTGATTTTTTCACGTTTTTCACGCTACAGTTTTTTTGGGCGTGGCCAAAGGTTTATGGCCACTGGTGTGAAGGCTTGCTCCGCTATACCATGGGTACAGGCATTGCGCACACCTTCGCATTTCAAAACGGGCGCGCTTTGCTGCACTTGAGCGCCGGAAGGCTGCATCAATCTACTTATAGCGGAGATGCTGCAGGAGTTGCAGGTTCTTGAGCCCCTAAAACAAAAAACAACCTAACAACCTCCTTAGTTGGAATGTATCGTGTGGTGGCTGGCCAAATGGTTCCCTGTATCTTTTTTCTGTTGCGGGATATTTTGGCTTTAACAATTCCCAACCAGATAGCAACATAGCTCACAATGGGGACACGAAGAACCACGTGTCACAGGTTGAATCATAAAAAAAGAATATATGCAAATATGTGTATATATATATACAAATATATTTATATATCACCGTTGGTGTCAAGCTTCTTGGGAATTTTATACAACATTCATAGGTTCCCTTCCGTCCACGTCGGCCACGTCGGCCCGCGCGTCCCTGATGACGCGATGTTGAAGTCCATCTTGTACTCCATGCCCGGATTCCCAAAACCAGGTGCGTTTGTTTCCTCGAGACGCTCGGCGCTCGGTATGTGGTTCAGGTCTTTGCATTCGAAGACCTTTCCAAATTGTGTGGGATCGCAATGAGCCATCTCTCCAAGCACCTTCTTTGGGCCGTGGTTTTGTCTGTGATTTTCCAAACACGACCAATTTTTTCAAAAAGTCTTCGTCAACCCACGTCGAATACTTTGAAACGTTGGCATGGCGATCTGCCCGGAGGACGTGCTTCAGGAGATGAAACTTTGGGGTCACCCTCCACAGGAGAACGCTTCGCTGCAGCGCATCACTAGCCATGGTGATATACAGTCGACAAAACACATCCCCCAAAAATCGTAAAGTGTCTTTTTCTCCTGACGTCAAGAACCAGCCCCCGTCGTATAACAAGCTCATGGCGCGCCCCGAAGTCCAGAGAAGGGTCCCAATCTCAGGGTATATCGCAAGATGTGCTTGGAGCACATCCAGCAACCACCTTGAAATCACGTACACGTCGTATCCGCTGCCGGTCAACTGCGGATAGTTCTTAGAACTCCACCGAAGCCGGGTTTTGGAGATTTTTTTCCACCTCAAAGGCAATTTCATTCGCTTCACGAATGAACGAAGAGAGGCGGAAGCTTCAGCAAGCCTGGATTCCAAATCTCCACTTGTGAAAACTACTTGTTCGCTGAGGATTACCCGTAGGGCGCTGCCCAACATCATTTGCTGAACCCCTAAATTCCACACATGTAGCAAGTCTGGCACTACCATAGATACGTGAAACCCAAGAAGAAAACACAATTGGGGCGCAATCGCCCACGGGTTTGTTTGGTACAGGGTTTGCCAATAAGAAGCGCTGTCACTCACATCAGTGTAGCACCTGTACATGTCTTGCTCAGCACCTTTGCTAGCCTCACAAAGGAAACACACCTCAGGGGGCATGGTCAGAGCTTCGGTATTGATTGGGCTGTTGCAAATCTTACAAAGCAGTAGTACCTATGTTTTGGCACCCCCTCCTGGTTGACATTCATGCGCCGTTCAAAATTCAACAACTGTTTGAGCGCTTTCCAATCGCCACGAATGCCCATGATCCAAAAATGGATTTTGGCAACCTCGAGTGAGCTGGTGATCAAAACCACGGTTCACGCAGGGGGGTTGTTGAAGAGTTGAAGCCTCAAAAACCGAGAAAACATCGTCTATTGCGTGCAAATGACAAGTCCACCTCCCATAGATTGGAGATCGCGAAGTTTGATTCCCTCTGACAGTTTGTTGAAGGAGGCCGTGATAGCCTTACAAACTTCCTGGAGGGTGATGTTCACCCCGTTCCCATCAATCACATACCGTGAAGACGGTATGATTGCAATAGGCCACCTGGAGCTCGAAGCATCTGACCGAAACGGGCTCAGGTCGCAGCTCCACAGCAAAAACATGAAAGAGTCGTTCAAGGCGTTGATCTCGTCACCTGGGCGTCAAAGTGCTTGTGGGGAGACGAGAATGAACTGGTAGGTCGACCAACGTCCAGAAACAAAGTAGACAATAAAAGTGTGCAGTTAACACATTAGCTGGGACTCCATAGAAGGTGCAACCCAGAGAAGTTCTCAGGTTGTACTGTTGAGCAGGATGTGTAGGGTAATCGACAAGCATCCCTTGCCAGTATTCTTCTACATGTTTGAGATCTGCCAGCGCTGAAAGGTAACCGTTTGCTAAGAAGCTACCAGCCTGCGGTCAGGGTGCAGGGTGCCCTAATTTACTTGTTTGGCAAAGTGGGGGGCGCACGGTATAGGAAAGAAAACCTGCCGTTAATTCTTGAGCTTCGCAACCATGCCGTGTGGTAAAATGACGGGCCAGTCAACAAGCTCCATTGCCCCAGTCGATGTCGTCAGAGGAATGGTGATCGAAGTAATCTTCACTTCTAGGCCAATGTCATTTTGGTTGAACCTCTGAGCGACACCACGCTCACGGGCAGTCCTGGGCTTCTCAAAGAAGGATCCAGCACTTAAGGGCACACCCTCCTATCTCCACACAGGGTGTTTCATAAAAAAGTTTTGGAGCTTGTGCCCGGGCCAGGGGACGTTACCACGTTGGAATCGTACGCCTCTGAGATAAACCGCGTGCGCCGCGCGCTGGTGTACCCAGTCCCAAAGGTGTAGCCAAGCCTTGGCACGGACGCGGACTTCAGCGGTATATATTTATGAGGGTTGTGGAGAATTAGGAAACAAACTTTTGGGGTCCAGGCTTTGTGCTGCCAAACGACGCTTTGTCAAGCCGTTCTTTCATTAGATGGATGGAGTCACCAGCACCTGCGCTGATTGGACAAGAGAAAATAGTCCATGTTCTTTGTTTGCTGTCCTCACTGCGTTCCTGACCAAGCGCTCCAGTGCGCCCAATGAGTTTTGTCACGCGCGCATCTAGCTAAAGCGTATGGTGAGGTGCACGGGCTCATCCCCGCACCAAGCTAATCGCGAAAACTCCGTTCGCAGATGGCAGGACCCCAAGCAAATAGACATTTTGTTGGTGGGATACCTGAACCAAATAGAACAAATCTGTCCCTGTGTTTCAAGGTTAACTTAGAAGCAAAACCCTGCCAATTGCTCAAGAAAAACTCAGTATCCACTCTTTAGACTCGAGTGCAGAGTCTCCCTCAGTGGATCCACCATTTCAAGGCTCACGCTCCGGCTTCGGGGTGGGCTTTGCGGAGCTCCGAGGCCACCGCACGGGCTTGAGCACGAGTCATCCGGGCTGACGTCACCTGCACACACGCTGTCGCATGCACCAATAGTTTTCCAATCCTTTTCAATGAGGGCATTGGGGGGTGCATTGTGGAAGTCATGGTGGTCTCACAGTTTACCTTCCAAATCTAGATTTCCCTTCAAATGGAATTGACAAGCCTGGCCATTGATCGTCTCAGACAGCTCATCAAGGTCGCCATCGGCAGTAGTCTTCAACCTCGATATGTGTTGGGCGGTCAACCCATTAAAATGTTGATGACACTAGTGAAGTGTTTAAACAGGAACTGCTCGGTCAGGCTCTCGAGATCAGCTTGGTGCGTCTGCAGAGAGGCGCGAAGCGCATGGTCTCGGGGCAAATCGGTCATGCCTGTAGCGCATCCATTCACCTCCTTCTTCAAGAGCGAGCCTTGTCGGAGTTCAAGGGTTCGAAGAATGTAGAAACTCTTGTCCTAGAGTGCCCTTCAGGTGTTTGACATGGACACACATGGACTATATGCAGCGCGTATCATTTCTGTGAGAGCATACAGAGGGAAATTAAAACTGCGACAGTAAAACCATGGGGCGGATAGCTGTGCGCTGCTCTGCCAGAGTCTTGGGGTTCTGAGGAAGAGCTTTGGCTTTCGCCTTTGTCTTCGCCTTCCCCTCGGCTTGGCTGGTCCTCCTGCTGCGTTCTCGGTCTCCATGTTGGCAATCTCCATCATGCTGGCCAGTGCGGGGGCTGATTGGTCATCCCCTGTCACAGAGCCATTCGTGAGGGCAAGCTGGGAGGGAGTACGGGGCAAGTCCACCAGAAGTAGCGGGGGATGCGTTCATGGTTGGCATCAGTCGCTGCGGTGCGCACTTCAGTGGTTCCCGTCAT